CACCTGTGCTGGCTGAAATTTTGGAGTGCTACTAGTTCCCCAGAAAAGGTTGCCTAGCCTTACCACAAGTCCTTCAGACTGCTACAGTGTTGTGTCTTTGTTTTTTGGTAGAGACCCTAAGGGTCAAACATTCTCTGAGAGAGAGAGAGAGAGAGAGAGACAGAGAGAGAGAGAGAGAGAGAGAGAGAGAGAGAGAGAGAGAGAGAGAGAGAGAGAGAGAGAGAGAGAGAGAGAGAGAGGAACAAAAGTAAAATGCAATTCGTGAGGAATATTTACCTATTCTACCTTAAAAAGAATATGTCATTATGGAAAGATGCTGGACTTGGGATGATAGGACCTGCCACCTGCTACCTGTGTAATGTTGGGTAAATGACTTCTCTTTGCCTCAGTTTCTCCATCTGTAAAATGAAGGGGTCAGCCCAGATGACCTTTAAGCTTACTTCCAGCTCTAGATCTAGGGTCCCATGATCAATTAGAAAATATCACGAATTTGAAAGTCCAAGGTGGGCGTAAGGTCTCCTCACGGTTTTCTTCCTTGATCCATTTTAATCTCCATAAATCATGGGAAATAACCACTCTATGTTACTCTTTCTGCTTAGATCCCAGGACATCATTAAGAAAGATGGGGTTCGAACCCAGCATTGCCACCGACTCCTCTTTGTCCCCATCCTCTCTCACAGCCCTTGACCAATTCACAAGCAAGTCAAGACATCACCTGGGATGTCACTGATCATCTTCAACCACTGGGCCACTTAACTGCCCTGCGGGCCCAGGAGAACAAGTGAAATCCTTCTTCCAAGATAGACTTTCCTGGTCTTCTTCCCCCACCCCCACCAATTCTCTCTCACCTCAAAGGATGCGGTATTTACTTAGACGTTGTTTTCACCAGTCTGATGTAATCTACCTGAGGGCAGGGGACTACATTTAGTGTGGCTGCCCTAAATTTTCTCTCCCATAGGCTAAACATCCTTGGTTCCTTCAAGTTTGAGGATTTCCACCACTAAAGGGCTAGCCTCAGAGTCAGGATGACATGAGTTCAAATTCTATCTCATTAGCTTCCAGCTATGTGGTCCTGGGAAAGTCACTGCTCTGGGCTTCCATGTCTTCATTTATAAAATGAGGGGCCTGGACTCAATGACCTCCAAGGTCTTTTCCAGCTGCTAAGCCTATCTTTCCATCACCATCCTGGTTGCCTTCTCCCAGATGCTCTTCAGCTTATTAATGTCCTTCTGTAAAATGTGATGCCTAGAACTGAATGGGGCTTGACTGGGGAGAGCCAAGTTAGGACTTCAATTTCCATAGTACTGAATACCCTGCCTCTCTCTTGTACTCACCCACCATAATCTCATTGTTGACTCATACTGAGTTTGTTTTTCACTAAGCTCCCCAGATATTTCTCAGATGAATTTTCATTGGGTCAAATTATTTCCCACCTTGAACTTGGGAAGTTGATTTTTTGAACCCAAGTATAAGATTTTACATTTATTCCTCTTACCTTCAGCTACATCCTCACTAGAAAGCCCACATAACAGCTCTTTCTGGAAAATGTTCTAGTGGTTCCAGCAACCAGTTAATATGAAATGAGTGAAGCAGGCTTAAAGCAACAGCTCAAGAAAGAAGAATTTATGAAAGGTGAGAATTTAGTTATTGCTTTTCAGAGGGAAAAGTAGCCTTCTCCTCCTTTCAACTTTAGCTCTGAATTTTTTTTTGGGGGGGGGGGATGCAGACTTGTAAATTTATTAGTCTAGGGAACTAAAAAGCTCCCTTTTTTGAATGCAGATCATCAGTACCTACAGTTCTACATCGCATGGTCTTAGAGCTGCCTAGAGCATTGACAGGTTAAAATACTTGGCCCAGATCAGTCAGTATGTGTCAGAGTTGGGCCTTGAACTCAGGCCTTTCTGGCTCCTAAGGTTGGCCTTCTGTCCTCTTTACCATGGTGCCTTTCTAGCTACAGTTATGTGCTCCATGCACTGTTACTCAATAGGCCTGCTGCCTGAAGGAGGCAACTGTGCAGATTTTTCCTCTTATCCATTTTCGTAGGCTCAGAGGGTCATCAGTTTGTCTCTGGATGGGATGTCCAACCCCCTCTTTTGGCATATGAAGAAACTGAGGGAGTTGAAGTGACTTATCCAAAGTCACACAGGTAGTAAATTTCAGAGGTAGGATCTAAGCCTGACTCCTTCAAGTCCAGAACCAGTGGCCGGAACTTACTGGCAAACTATCCCACAGCTGTGGACAGGGAAGGGCGGGCTCAAAGTGGACAGAACCCAGAAAGTCCCCTTTGAGTTTGCCTTCTCTTCATTCCTCTCCCTGTCCCTTGCCACTTTCTCACTTTCTATGCTTCCTACATATTATCTCTCTTCTTCTTTTACACACTTACACACACACACACACACACACACACAGAGTCACCATGCTTTTTCTTTGAACCATTTTAACTAGTTCCTCAGGACAGCTAGGTGGCGCCATAGTGCACAGAGTGCAAGGCCTGGAGTCAAGAAGACTCCTCTTCCTAAGTTAAAATCTGGCCTCAGACCCTTACTTGCTAGCTGTGTGACCCTGGGCAAATCACTTAACCTCGTTTGCCTCAGTTTCCCCATCTGTCAAATGAACTGCAGAAGGAAACGGCAAACCGCTCCAGTATTTCTGCCAAGAAAACCCCAAATGGGGTCAAGGAGAGTTAGACATGACTGAACAACAGTGACTAATTCTGCCTCTGGTGTCTTCAATACTCTTCCTAAAGTACATCACTTATAGGGCAAAACGAGAGTAGATTTCGAGCTGGACCATCTTTTCACAACTATATTCTTCCAGCGATGCTGCATCACTGTGAGTCATAGAACACCCAAGTCTCCAAAGAATCAAAGCTGGGGGGCACCCGAAGGGCATTGGGGAGGAATTTGGTGGGTGGGAGCAGGCTGCAACACATTACCAATGAAGGACCGTGCCAGAAAAGTGGGGTAAAGAATGTTATTAGAGAGATGAATGGCTAGAAAGAGTCATCAGTCAGATCACTGGATCATAGAATCAGAGGTGGAAGGGACCTATTGACTCTAACTGCTTCATTCTACAGATGAGAAAAATGAGGCAGACAGAAGTTAAGTGACTTGCCCAGGGTCACATGTTTATTAAGTACCTGAGGCAAGCTGTGAAGCTAAGCTTTCCTGACTTCAAGCCTAGTGCCATTTGCATGATTCCATTAAAAGTTGTTAATGGCTTGCCGTTGTCCACACCAACTGGTCAGTCTGGATTTAAAATCCTCCACAACCTGGCCCCAGCCAAGTCTTACTACACTCTATTCCCATTTATACCTTTGTTTTAGGCAACATGAATTACTGACTGTTCCCTAGCCTTGTCTTGGCCTCCCCAAGTCTTTGCGTGTATTTGTCAGCAGTGTTCAGAGAGTGTCTTGGGATGGCCATCAGGTTGGCCTCCAAGTCGTGAAAAGTCTGAATAGCTTACTAGCACATCCTGGGGAGAGCCTCTGTTGAAGAAACTCCCCTTTAGCATCCTTATAAGCCTTTACTTGTATAACTGCCCCCAACCCTACCCTGCTACCTCCATTTAAGAACGCTTTATTGTCTCTATGTCTGAGGTGGCCACAAAGGAAAAACTCCTGTCTACATCTGGTCCTCTCCTTCCCCTTCTGCCCACAGGAGATTCCCTTCTTCCATGCCCTACCTCCCTGCTCCAGTAAAAGAGGCTTGTTTAGCAATATCCCTGCCGTATTCATGTAAGGGTCCTACCCTGTATTAGGTAAGACGCTTTGGCAAGGCAGTGAAGGCCAAGGACATATGCACAGGCAAGATTATGGCCCATCAAGAGGCTGGAAAACCTCAAAGCAGAGACACAAGAGATTGGTGCATTTCAACAGTGTTGAAAACTCTGGGAAAATCCACACAGAAGATGGAGAAGTGAGGCTCCCATCACCCCCCCGGAAGGGAACAGAAGAGAGCAGAGATGAACTGAGAGGTCATGTATGGGGTGACTTACGGCAGCATGCAAATGCACAGGCTTGGGGAGAAGTACTGGGGAGCCCGACAGAATACTCAGAAAAGAAAGTTCCTGCCCTGCAGCTGAACGCTCGTATGTGCCCTTCATTAGAAAGGGAGCTCCCTGGGAATGAGGACTGCCTTACTTTTCCATTGGCACCTTTGCACACAGCAAGCACTTGATACATGCCTTCTCATTCACATAGGTAAGCTAGGTATAACTGTGTCTGACTCTTACTAGGACAGGCTGTGGACCATGAACAAAATAATGACTGGCATTTATACAGCACTTTGAGATTTGGGAAGCACTTTACCAATGTCTCGTTTGGTCTTCACAACCACCCTGGGAGGTAGGTGCAGATATTAGTATCCCCATTTTACCATTGAGGAAGCGTTACCAGAGGTGAAGGGACTTGTTCAGGGTCACACAGTTAGTAGGTATCTGGGCCTGGATTTGAACACAGTTCTTCCTGACTCCAGGCCCAGCACTTGCTTGATTCACTCTAGCCTGGCTGCCAGCAGGGATCATTGGATGCTAATGAGATGAAAGACTGAGTGAGTGTTGTTTCCATACTCGAGGGCATGTCTGGATACTGAGCAGATAGGGAGGGTGCTGGGCTAAATCCCCTGCTCACCTTCGGGGAGATGGACACAGGCTTGCTATGAGTTATACCCTCACTTGCTCCAAACGCGGTGATTATTAGACACAGTCTGCCCTGAAGCAGTACTGGGACTCTCTTTGACCAGCAACAACCCATCTCATCTAACTCTCTTCCCTAGCAGTGAAGTTGGGCTGGATTTCCTTTAGGGAGGACAACAGGGGGAGACTAGAGGTGAATAGTTGAGACCCCAGGACTGTGAATTGGGGAAAAAGAAATCTTCCCTCTCTTTCTCTCCCTCCCCACAAGGCGTGCAAGGTAGAGGGGACCCCGGACCTCCCTGGGATGAGGCCTTGCCTCCCAATACTGACCATACCCACAGATTCACCACACCAAGCTCCAGACCTTCTTTGCACTTGAAGGCTTTATTATATTGGAATTGCAGTGATATTATTAACATTTGTACAAACGCACAAAATCTCGTCTCTTCTCAATAGAAAGAGATGTAAAAATCTGACCGAGTCGAACAGTCTCCATGAACCCATTGTCCACTTGTAACAATACATGAGTTCCCGATGCAGGAATAGCAATAAAAACAACAAAAAAGCTTAACATAAAGTTAAACCTATCAAAGGTGGCAGCGAGTATTTACATGTATGTACCAGAACGTTCTCTCCTCCCAGGAAGGAAGGTGGTTGCTTTACATCATTAAACAAAGAGACAAACAAACATGGACATTTTTGCTGTTGACAATTACAAACGGCCCCAAACCCATAACTCAGAGTGACAGCACCTTTTGGAGGGACCTCCGAATGCTCACTTCACCCAGTTCAAAAAAAAAAAAATAGGTCTCTGTGGTCCATCTTGCTAATCCCAGAACAGTCACGTTCAGGGCTTTGGGGGTGGGGACCTTCAAACCTTTGAAGTTCCATCCCTTAGGCTCTAACCTCTCTAAAGAGACTCTCTGCCCTCTAAGATGCTCCTCAGAGGCAGCCCATCCGCTCTTTAGAAGCATCTTCATGAGGCAGAGATGGGTTTAGTGGTACCCAGGTAGCAGAGAAGAGACGAAGCTGATGGAGTCATTCCAATGGGCTGGAGCATTTCTTCTGCCGTGATCACTTCCACTTGAATGCATTTCACACTATGTGCAAGGCACTGTACCGGAGACGCAAGGAGAAAGCCCTCTTCTCCCAATGCTCCCCTTCCTTTGACCACCTCTAGTCACATGTGTAGGGTTGAGATTCTCAATGGGGAAGCCAGAATGTGAGAGGGTGTGGGGTGCACCACCATTTCCAAGGGATATTTACACTAAGTCTTCTGGGCTCCGCCTTCTCAGTAAGCACCCTGAGTCCAAAACTCTTTTACAAAAGAAAAGGAAGCTTGTAATATAGAGCTTAATCTAGGAAAAGTGAGGTTGGTGTAGGAAAAGACATCAAGAGATTGATTTCTAACATGCCAGATATCAGAACTGGGTCTAATCGTAATTCTGGAAACCTGTCCCAAGTCTGACAAGATAACCACCGACCCCTGAATGAGTCCATCTTTGAACTCGAGATCAGGAGTTGGGCCTCTCTTCTTCTGACCTGGTGAAAAAACATGTTTCCCAAAGAAAATTCATGAAATTAAAACAAAAACAAAAACAAAACAAAAAAACCCAGAAACGCTCAAAACAATTTTAGCAATGGTCACTGGAAACCATCCCCTCCCTTCTTCCCACCCCCCCAAAGCAAAAAAATAAAAAGAGATTTTAGAAAGAGATCCATTTCCAGCTTTACAATGACTATGCACTGATAGAGTTGGGGAATTTTAATTTGGGGATTAGGGGGCTTTTTTTTTTTGGTATTTGAATTCACTAGAAATATTATTGCTTTTGCATTTGCTTGTCCTTGGGGCAGAGCCTTAAGGCAGGGGTTGCTGCCCCTCAGGAGGTAAGAAGGCAGAAGAGCCTTCTAGGGACTTAGAGTACACTATCTCCAGCCACCGGAATCTCAGTGGCCTCATTGCTACATTAGGTCGGAAACTAGCTAAAGTGCATCTGCCATACCTCGAACGATCCAGCCCCTTACCCATTCAGGACACTTTGGTTCTCAGGAGGAACAAGGGAACTTTGAAAGTCTAGCTGAGGCTCTACTGCCCACGTTTCACATATTAGCACTGGCTGGTTTTCTCCTTAGCATTCTCTTCTCTTCGCAGTCTTCATCATGGGCTGCTGGGAGACTGAACAAGGCTTAGTAACCACCGGGAGATGCTAGCACGTCAAAATCACCAGAGCCAATGTCTGAGCCAGTGGGAGAAGTGGGTTTGCATGGAGTCATGGAAAAGAAGCAGAGGAAGGAAAACAGGGAAGTAGGCCTAGAGACAGACAGGTAAAGGAGGGCCAGAGGAGAGGACTGGGGACAGAAAAGTTGGGAGTAGGGGCAAGAAAAGTAGAAAAGGAACAAAGACACTAAAGTGCAATTTAAAAATATAAATAAGGTGAAAAGTAGAAAAGAGACTCCGAGTCCCAACTTTCCTGATAGGCAGGGTTCTATCCCAATCTTTAATTGCCATTTCCCTCCCCTTCTCTTATGGGGGCCCAATGGGGCTTCAGAAGTCTACAGCATTGGGTAGGGTAGGGGAATGGCAGTCACTGGAGGAATTCAACATAAGAAAGCTGAGACATTAGTGAGACATGGCGGATGGCTAAAGAAAGCATTTCCAGTTATAATAAGGATTCCCCTTTAGCTGAACTTGGCTGACTCAAATAAAAGGGCTCCTTTTAAAATAAAAAAAAGGAAATAGTTGCCATCTTTGTTTCTCAGTGCTCAGAAGCAGATTTCAGAAACTCTCAGAACAATGAAGCCCCCCAAAACTTTAAGCATCCACCTAAGCAAACTTTTTCATCTAGAGATGGCGAATAGCCATTTGAGACCCTGAAAAAAATGGGGATATCGCACAGCTGGGCTTACTCTAAACTAACACTTTAACTTCCAAAAATGAATACAGCCTCCACAAGAATACTGCTCAGATGGAATGTTTTAAAAATAACATTTATTAATAAATATGTTATAAAATTCTAAATGAAAAATTTCCTGTTCAAATGTTGCTTTGGTCCTCAAACTTGACTTCATAATTCAATGGATATAGTTGAGAAAGTTTGACACGAAACCACAAAGAAGCACATTCTATCCTAGCTGAAAGGTTATTTTAACGGCAGTTATAGTTGCTTAAAAACATGAATTTCCTGCCCCCCCTCAAAAAAAGCTGGTTTATGATATTAATGACAAGCTCTGCTACTATACTAAAATTCATATAAGTAATGGGCAGATCACTACCTGACCATCTCCCATTAACTTGCCCCCACTCCTAATATGGGCTGCATTTAGTTGCATTGCACGGATAAGCTCCTAGGAATATCCACTCCTCTTTAAATCATTCTCATCCTTATAAAACATGCCAAGAAAGCATACCAACCACTTGTCTCTCACTGGCAGTGTTATGACTGTGGCTTGCATAAATTGGCTTGGGCAGTGGGGGAATGCTAAGTGGGAGGACCAGCAAAAAACACAGGGCTTACAACACAAAGCTTGATAATTATGGCAATCAACAGGGGCTGGGATTTCCACCCTGCCTGTTTGGGCCTTGGATGTTGAGAAATGTTTCACGAAGCAATGAAGTTGTGGCTGCCTCGGCTGGCACGAGGCTCCCCCTGACAGACACACCATCAGGTATACTTAACTGTGTTGCTGTTAGTGCCCATCAAATAAGGCATGGGAGGCCCTGTCAAAGTTCCCAGGTAGCCTGGCAGGGATCTTGAACAGAGATGCTGTTGCTAATGAATAAACTACATTTGGATGAAGAAAAGCAGTTTTGTAAACTCTTTCTCTTGGCCTCTAGTCAGGAGGAGCTCTTGGGAAAATGAGATTTACTTCACGGATGAGATGGCTTTCAAAAGGAATAGGAGGGAGGGGGGCTAGAGACTCAACGAAGAGAGGAGAACATCATCGCCCTATGTGTTGAGACACACTGAACAGAAAGACTTAGAGGGCAGGGACTGTTTTAGGAAAGGAAAAGTATTCCATGATGTTTTACTTGAGGTGCTCAGTAGCCAGCTTGGTCCATATCACTCTGCCCAGCATTAGGTTTGGCCAGGGAGCCATCCATTCTGTTCAGCATCTCCAGAAGTCCTGACAAGTCCCCTGACATCTTTTATTGCCTGTATTTCCCCATTGCTAATGAATACACCTAAAGGCCCTTGGTCTGGAAAGAAGACAGTTTATTCTAATTATACGTTTAGGCTGCTTTGCTACCGTGGGGTTGGCTTGGCCTGCTTAGCATAAAAAACAGACGTAATTGAGCTATATAGAATGCCCATCAGTCAGGCTGTCACGTTGCTGAATTAAGAAAAACTGAGGCAAGTTCTTAACCGTCAGAGGCTTTCAGCTTAACGGTGAAAAATATCAATTAAGAGGCTGAACAAAAAGGAAAACCCAACCTTGATTTAGTGACACGTCACTCCCTGGGCTTTCTGACATCAGCAGTACAGTTTTAGAAGGCTGTTTCGTTAAGAACTATATAGACAGGAAAAGGAGAAAAGTTTTGTTTTACTTGTGTGTCTCCCCCTTTGAAAAAAAAAATTATCAAAAAAAAAATCATAAAATGAACACTGCAGTAGCCCATCTCCCCCTCCGACCTTCCCTCCCCACTTTTAGGACAGATGGTAAAGTCCTAGAAAAGAATTTTTGATGGAAAATACCTCCTCTTTTCAAAGCTAAGATACAAATGACATGTTTCTTTCAAAACTAGTCCTTTGAGCACTACCTTGGGAGGTAAAAATCAAGCAAACCCATCCAGTTGTTACCTCTGGAGCATTTTTAAAAAATGAACTATAGATTCAGTATTTAAAATACTTTAAAATTATATGTTTGTCTAAAATATAATAAAATCCTTTACATTTATTTTTTTCTTAATTTTTTTTTTTTGGTTCTTAGACTATATAATCAAGTCATGAGTTACATGGTACACTCAAAACCTTCTGAAAGCAGTTGCATACATGGCAAGAGTTGTCGGGAAAAATATCAATAAAGAGTTTAAGTGTAGTACACAAACTGTCTTTAAAATCATGATGTGTGACCCTCATACTTTTCTTTTTTTCTTCCAAAGAGGCTCTATTCACTCTGAGAGAGAGAGAAAGTAAGGAAAAGGAAGGGAAAACCCACATTCATCATTTGGGGAACTTTTGAGAAAAACTATAGTGCTGATCTTTAGAAGCTAACAAACTCACAGACCTCCTCCCAAAAAATGGAGATGAAGCACAACACCTATTGAAAAAGCATTGTCACCAGTTAGCGCCACTGAGTAGCCCATTTCAATGAGACCCGCCTCAATTCTTGGGCAGCATCGAAAGGTCCATTCACACAAATCGTCAAGATAAGAAATGGAAAAATCATTTTGGGTTCAGCCGAGAACCTTCTTTGCCGTTCTCCTGGTAAAACTGCCTTGAGCCAAAGGCTACTTTCCATGTGATGGGAGGGTAAGAAAAGCACCTGTGGAAACACTGTTTTTGTCCAGGACTTAACGCTATTCTTCCTTTGCCCATTAGGATGGTGAAGCTGGTTTCACAGGCTTAAAACGAAAAATAAATCTCAGGCTATTAGCAGTCGATGATGGAACGACATAACGTGCGTAGTGAATAGAGCCCCTCTGAATTATTATATAGTACATGGATTTTCAATGTTACAGACGGGCCATATAAAACCCGTCGTAATTCAAGGTTGTGATGTTATTACCCGTATCGGGCATTAACTCACAATACAGGCTTGAACAAAGCTCCCTTTCCCAATGTCCCCACAGCTGCCTGTCAATAGCATTTCACCTGTGGCGAGGCTGCCTCTAACTTGCTCTGTTTATTAAAAACATTAAATCAGGCACACGAAACATCTCCTGGTTTCTATTTTGTAAAAACCGAGAGCTTAAATGAACCCCAGCTGTGGGTGAAGGGCTATTGAAAGCCAGGGCTAGCCAATCGTTCTGAGAAGTGTGTTGTTTTAAAAACAACTTTTTTTTTTCTTTTTCACTCATAGAGGGGAGAAAAGGGGGGTGGGGAAGGGAGGACAAGTAGGTGGAAATGAGAAAAAAGGGGATGTAGAGGAAAGGAGAAATGTCATTGGTGAGACAGGGAAGGACAAAGGGTAAATTTGCTAGGGAGAAAATGAGAAAGTTCAAGCCAAGGGAATGAAAAGAAAGAAGAGGGGTAGACATGTTAGAGAGAATTTTTTTGTCAGTTTTATTTTATTCGCTTTGTTCAGACATCCATGTATTATATAATTTTTTAAAAGAAAAAAGAAAAAAAAAACCAACAACAACAGCAGCCGTGAAAAGATTCTACATATACCTTAGGAATCTGGGGATGTCACAAGGCCAACTCTTCCATGTTGGCTATGATGCTTTCCCCCAGATGTACCCCCCAGTTACCTCGGTAGGAATTTCAGTGGATTATTCCATTGGGCCCACTGTTGGAGTTGACCTACTTTCTTGATCTGAGGCCTTGGGGTTAGACTGAAGCCACGGCTATGTACAGAAAGAGGTCATTTTATCAATGAATAACTGGTACCAGAAAGTCGAAGAAAGCACCAAAGTGTTTCCCAAGCAGATACATATTAATTGCATAACTCCCTTTTTTTTTATAACTAAGTATAAAAGACACGTTTCAATAATAACTATAAAAATGAATGAAAGCCAGTCTTGGAAGGGCTTGAGGAGTTTTCCAGGTTTGGGTTAATTCTAAAAATGCCCTTAGCGGAAAAAGGATGCTGTCGAGGAGGCTGACACTGCTTGTCTCTGAAGCAACGGGGGGGTAGCCAGGAGTCTTAAAGGATGGGGTTCAGGTCTGTTCTGTGAGAGGCGAGCTGGCTGAGAGTGGAGCTTCCGACGACCTCGCTGACCGATGAGGAAGTAGTGATGGTATTGTGTTGAATGACCTGCTGCTGGGAGCAAGCCGGGACAGGGCTGGCCGGAGGGCTGCTCTCGGGACCTGGGGGAAACACACGCATATGCATACCCCAATGTAATGTGGTATTCTTGTATGGACTTGCAGACTGCTTAGAGAATCACTTAGAGAAACATTTTTTAAAATTGGTGTATGTGAATTTCTCAACAGTTTCTCTTGGAAGGAAGTAGAAACTCTGTTTCCAAATTCCTTTTACAGAGCTGTGCTTTAATAGTGTTAATAGTGATGATGATGGCAGAATCAATGTGGCTTTAGCAGGTAGTGAGCTAGCCTCGGTAAAAGTCAGAAAAGATCTGGGTTTAAGTCCTGCCCCTGACACACTCCAATTGTAACGCTATGGGCAAGTCAGTTAAGCTCTCAGTGCCCCTAAACATTGTGTTTTACATTATCAATGCTAATTGTTATTGTTATGAGGACCTAGAAGTGTGACCTTGGTCAAGGTATTTAATCCATCTTAGCCTCAGTTTTCCTCAACTATAAAATGAGGGGATCATCATCAGATGACCTTCAGCTTTAAATCTATGATCTCATGACCACAGCTAGAAGTCACATCTCCTCATTTTACAAGCCCGCCTTCACCTTCTCTGAGTGACAAAAGAAAAGGCCCTTCACTTTTCCGTGCCTCAGACAGCTCTGTAAGACTCTAAGTTACAGAGGAGGGACACCTGCAGCTCAGAGAATGGGATCTTAGAGCTAGGAGGAACCTCAGCACTACCCCACCCAGTTTTTTCATCTGACAGATGAGTCACTGGGGGTAGGGTGGGGATGTCACCGAGCTAGTAAATGGCAGCATCATGATTTGAATCCAGGTCTTCTGATACCAAATCCAAGACCCTTTCTATTGTGCTAGGCTGCCTCCCACACTGGAAGTTCCCCCAAACCATGAAATCATAGGTTCAGGTTAAAAAAAAAAAAGCAAAACAGAAACATCTGTTTGTTCATTTATTTTGAGCCAAGTCTGTGATTTTATCCCAGCTCCCTTCAGCAAAGATCAGCACCCGACCTGCAACTTACAGTCTTAGAGAGTTGCTTGGACATCAAGGAGTTAAATGACTTGTCTACAGTCACCTAACTACCAGGTGTCAGACTCGAACCCAAGCTTTCCTGATGCTGAGGCCAGCCCTCTCTCCATTAGTCCATGCCCATTGGGCATCGAAGTCTATACAAGAGTTTTCCTCCCAACACCCCTTCTATGTAGTTTAAGATGCCAACAAACCTACGCTTTCTCCACGATCAAAATAGTGCAAGGAAAATCATTCTTCTATACAAACTTGTCTCTTAGCTATGTACAGACAGTCAAGTATGTTACCAAGATGGGAGGAAGACCCACGTGAGGTAGGAACATTGTAGTCGCTCAATATGAGGAACTCATCTGAAAACACACCGATATTAAAGCATTGCACTCTGACCTTTGCCCCGTCCCCAGTCAATGCTAACTTTGTCACTGGAGAAAATAAAGTGCGAGGAAAGTAGAGTGCTTGAAGGGATCTCAGAGGCCAGCCAGACTAGTGGCGTCATAATTAAGTAGAAAAGGGGGCCACTAAGCTGGACATAAGGACCTCTGCCTGCAGCCTTTAATAGACATAGAAAACCACATATTGACATTATCTATATTCTATTGTATTTTATTTATTTCGTTAAATATTTGCCAATACATTTTAATCTGGTTCAGGTACTCAGGCATGTTGGAGCCTGTAATATGACATCTCTAATCTAGACCAGAAACCTCAATTTAAAGATAAAAACAGAGGCCCTGAAAGACTGACTTGCTTAAGGTCATACAGGCAGTAATCAGAAAAGACTGGATTTGAATCCAGGTCAGCTGACTCCATAGATAACATTCTTTCCATTGTACCATAGAGGGAAGTCTGAAGGAACTCTGTTGGGCTGTGAGGAGGTGGGGAGCCCAGGTAGGAAATGGGTTCAGGTCCTAGCCACCCTCTGGGCATGTGGGTCCTGCTTCCTCTAATTTATGTTCAAGCCTCTGAAGGGCCAGGTAGTAAGTAGCAGTAGCTATGCGAAAAGACCTCCTTCCCATAGGGGCTTCAGAATGAGGGAACTCAGCAGCAAATGTGGCTCCCATTTCCATCTTTCCATCTTTCCTGGAGAACTTTAAGCTGTTTGAAGCCAGAGCAACATCTGGAAGGTTTGGCAGTCCATTGGCAACTGAGTGTTTCTCTACTGGCCACACAAGAGAATGAAAGCCGGGTGGGATTTCCCAACTTGGATTTTCATGGCAAACTCAGCCAGACCTATGGGGAGAGGGGCCAAGATTCCCACCAGTGTTCTGGCAGATGAAGAAGGCTTCGCCAGGGTAGAATGGTCTGACTACACCCCATCTTGAGCTTGGCCTCTATATGGATAGGAAAATTTATTTTTTGAGTCCCTTTTTGAGAAGACTGAGCTACAAAAAGCTGAGTCTGAAATGAGACGAGTCAGAAAAAGAAAATAAGCCAGTTACTTACTTAGATAGCCTTGGGACTCTTTCTGCATGGCAGTTATTGGGCAGTCTTTATGTGTTAACAGCAACTGTTTCAGCTGGGCTACCTCATTTTTCAACATGGAAACTTCATTCTGGAAAGAAAATGAGTCACAGCCTTATTGGAAAGACCAGTGAAAGCATGCCCCAAGCAAGCAAGCTTCTGCATTCTGTGTTTTGTTTTGTTTTGTTTTGTTTTTACTACATAGGATTTGAGTGATAGAGGCTAATCGAGGAAAACAACTCAGCAGTCAGAGGTCACAGGAAAATAGGCTTTTCATCCATCTGCTTGCCTTTCCACTCAAATAAGCTTCTTAGTTTTTCCCTGTACTTGTGTCTTTTTGGTCCTCCGTGCCTGGATTGCACTCTCTCCTCACCTCTACCTGATGGAACCCAGGTCTCCCTTCAAAGCACAGCTCAAGTGGGCTATCTCCTACACGTGGTCTTTCCAGGTAATGATTATTATTACTTATTAATATTATTAACATAATTATCAATTAAAATTATTAATAATGACTTACCATTATTAATCTTATTACTAATAAGAGCTGGTGTTTTTATAGTGCTTTAAGGTTTGCAAAGCACTTTACAAATATCATCCCATTTGGTTCTCACAGAAAACCTATGATATAGGAGCTGTTATTATCCCCATTGTACAGATGAGGAAGCCGAGGATGATTAAGTGATTTACCAAGGGGCCCATAGCTACTAAATGTCTGAGTCAGGATTCAAACTTAGGTGTTCAAGTCAATCAATTAACAAACATTTACCAGATGCCTACTATGTGCTAGGCACTGTGTTAAGCACCAGGGATAAAAAAAAGAAACAACAAAATCCTTGCCCTCAAGGAGCTTACACTCTAAAGGGGGAGACACCATGTGGACAAATATCTATACACAAGCTTGTACAGACTAGACAGGAAACAAGTCCAACATTATCCTCTGTGTTTCCTGGATACCAGAGTGATGTTACTGTTTTATGCCTCTTGAAATTACTTTGTATTTATGAACATTAATCTTTACTTGTGCACATGTTGTCTCCACTGAATGGACGGTAAGTTCTCTGAGGGAAGGGGATATTTCATTTTTGACTTTGTATCTCCAGGGCTTAGTTCAGAGCCTAGAATTTAATAAATGCTTTGTTGAATTAAATACAGTCTTTCCAAAACCTTGTTTATGTGAGATGGGTTTTCATCAGACAAGGAGAACTACAATGAGGCCTCCACACTCTCCAGACAGAGGCTCACTGGGCATCATCACTAATTTGCCTTTACTCCACTGGCTCTACATGCCCCGATTGGAGTCAATGACTGAAGAGGTGAATGGGAGGGCAGAGAACAGAATTTGGATGAGTGATGTGCCTTGGTTGGTGGCCTTCAAACTGACAAGTGCAGTGGAGAAGTCGCCTCATTAATTCACCATCAGATCTCCAAGTCTGAAGCAAGAAACATGAAGGAATGTCACCATCGGTATGATCTCCAATTAGTAGGCAGACTGAGGCTGCTCAGGGCGAATCCCAGCCTACCTACTGGAGCCTTCAGGCCAGCATATCAAGGCAAAGGGAGAGGAAAGATTTAATGCTATGAATCAAATGCAGGAGGTTGACCCGAACTGCGCCCTACGTGTCCCATTTCCCTCAAAATAATGATCGTGGTGTGCCTAATGGCTGGCACATAGTAGGTACTTAACAAATGCCTGTTGATTGATTGGGATGTTTTCTGCCTGATTTACTCAAATAAATTACTTCAACTCTCACTATGCCCTGCGTGAATTGAGCTTAAATGGTGACCCATAAAGGAAAAGCATGTTCTTCACTTTTTAAAAGATTTGTTGGCATCCTCAGTGCCTTAGAAACAGGCAATGGTAACTGAGGGCTGAACCAAGGTGCTTCCACTTGATAAAAATTAACTTCAAACTGGACAATATTTTGGATAATTCCACCTTACAATCATGACAAATGATTGCCTTATCGTTGGCTAATGTCCATTCACAATTTGCCAAAAACAATGGCCCACATGAACCTGAACAATTTTCCTCCTGAAAATAATACCCACAAAGCATGGGTTTATTTTGGTTATTTTGGGTTGGTTTGTGTTTTTGAGACTGGGTATCCCTATCTAGCTTAGGCTGGAAGTGAGGCAGCCATTCACAGGCTGGCTCCCACTGCCAATGGGCATGGAGGCTTTGACCTTTTCCAAGTCTGATCGGGGCCAGCCTCTCTCTCCTCATGCAGCCTGGTAGCTCTCTCCACCCCTATCCAATTCCCCACAGGCTTCATATTGGTACCAGACTTAATGAAGACATCTGATTGACTTTTAGTCTTATTACAACTCACAATTCCTGAGCTCGATCAATCCACCAGCATCTGCCTCCCTAGTAGCAGGAATTCTAGGTGTGCCATACCCCACCTGGCCCAGAGCATGAGTTTTAATATGGTGGTCACTGCATTCTCTCTACATTGCCTCTTTTTGTATCCCCATGGCTTAGCATAGTGCCTGTACACAGTAGATGCTCCATAAATGCTTATTGACTGACTGACTTCCAATAGGAACTTGGCTCTCCAGCCACTTATCTCACTAATAAAATAGGCTTATTTTGATCTCTAAAGATATATTTCATTTTTATGCTTATCTTTTTAAAAAAGTCTTTTTCCAATGTTATCAGCAAAAAAAAATTGATTACATTCTCTGATGTTAACTACTCCAATATGCCAATCAATGAAACTTCTAACATTATACTTATACATTACACTTCTTCCTCAAAAGCTTTCAAAGTTAACAACTGGATACCCAAAATAACTATTCAACAATGAAAAAAAATCATCTGATTACATATGGAAATTGTTCTTCTGATTGGAAGCAGCTCACAAAAGGAGGTTGGGTTGACCCAAAATAGGGATGATTGAAGAATGTCCCACCAAGCCCACTGCTCTTAAACTGACATTTAACAATTTTAGTGAAATTTGGGAAAAGCCAATTTCACGTACGTGAAGATTTCTTTTTGTCTTGGAGAGCACGGTTCCTTTCTCTACTTTAACTCTTTCTCTCCCTAGGAAGTCTGCCTTATCTTTTATGAGCCCTAGAGAAACTCACTTTTCAGACCAGACTTAGATCTGATATGATTCTTGGTCACACAAAATGTTCTTAATAAGTTATCAAGGATAAAGAAAAGATGAGAGGCAGACTAGGGGCTGGGGAAGATGCCAAGGCTTTGGAGTCAGGGGCTTGCCTGGGTTTGAGTCCTGACTTTGACACTTCCTTCCTGTTAAGTGACTTGGGACAAATCAGTTATCTTTTCTGGGCTTCAATTTCCTGGTCAATAAAATGGAATCTTTCCAGATGTAAATGCATGAGCTTTAGCAGCTCCAAATCTATGCTCTCGATAGCAACACCCACCACATACTTTGTAGAAGCCATAAAGTAATTAAGTTTGTCAAAAATCACAAAAAACAGATATTCAGACTCTAATTAGAAGCTTATAGATTCAGATAATAGAAGATAATTCTTAAGAAAAGGCCAAATGCTCCCCTAGTCTTTAGTGTGCGATCAACAGTAATTGGCCAGGTTTACTATGGACAAGTGGCCTTTCTTCTATCTCTTCAGGTACTTACCTGGTGACCTGTTTACATGACTTGATCTGGGAACCAACATTCACCAAGTCTATAAACTAGAATTCCTGCTTTCCCCCACTGGAGAGAGGGAAGAAGAGGAGGGATGAGAAGGGTAGAAAGAGGAAGAAAGAGAGAGGAGGTGAGAAGAGGAAGAAGGAAAGGGGGGAGGGAGGGAGAGAGAGAGAGAGAGAGAGAGAGAGAGAGAGAGAGAGAGAGAGAGAGAGAGAGAGAGAGAGAGAGAGAGAGAGAGAAAGCGAGCACATTCTGCCCTCTCTGATGGTTTAGGAGTGTTGGAATTCATTTCCATTTATTCTTCCAGCCCGTCCTGAGTCACACCCTTTCTGTTCAATGTTCACTCAGAATTGTTGATTGCCTCTTCCTTAAGTAAACAGCTCTGAATTCCGTTGTTTAGGCTGCATTTTGGAGCTGGCTGGCTCCCTCCTTTGGCACACCCTGACCCATTTTACAGTAAGATTTTCACTTCCTTGAGAGTTGCTACAAGCAGCCAAATCACCTCAATGAACAACATTATGTGCTCTCCTGGCCCAGCACCAAAGTCTTATCTGAAACGTGGTACACTTGCGGAGTGTTTCCATGTGCTGATCCCAAAGCACCTAATAAACGAGCCTGTCAGCTCTCATGCTACAAACCAGGAAACTGAGACCCAAAGAGGTGAATCAAGGACAAAATTCAGGGAACCAACTGATGCCCTGACAAGTTAGCATCATGTCCTCGTGGAGATGCACATCTGTTCACACACATGTTTTATTTCACAGTTAAACGCTGGCTGCCAGATAATATCCCCAGTAGAGGAGGATCACTAGCATGTCACACCTACACACCTAACTCTTCAAGGGGGCAGGAGGTAAGGAAGATCCGATGTCCATGGCTGAGAAAAGAAATGCATGGGGCAATCTATAGTCACAGGAAGCCTGGTAGAGGGGATGGAGCACAGGCTGGCAAGGCAGGAGATCCTCCTTACCTACTCTCATCCAAGTTTCTTCACTTATGGAATGGGGCTCACAGGGACTGTAGTTCCTTCTCATACAAGAGTATAAAATCACAGACTGGACACTGGGAATGATGCAAGTGAGGCAATAAAGACACAAAAAAGTCACTCCACCAGGTCACATAGCCAGTAGGTAGGATCTGAACTCAAGTCTTTGTGACTCCAAATCTAGTTCCAGGATATAAAGTATTTTGTAAACTTAATGTACCATAGAAACATCCCATTATTATCATTATTATAGTACACAGAGGATCAGGAAACCTGACTTCTGGTCCTCTCTCTTCCCCTAACTCATTGCGTGACTGGTCAATCCTGTCCTGTCTGATGCCTCGAGGGAAGGGGCTGCCTCCCCATTTTATCTGCACCCCCAACGCACACAAGAGCTGCTCAAGAAATCCTTGTCCATTGGACTGGCAAGGCTCTCCCTACCTCCAATGTCTCTCCCACCAAATTACCTTGTATTTCTTTTGAATGCAT